TGAAGCATATTGGTCTGTTACAGAAGTCTAGGATAATTACTATTTCAATTTTTTCTGCCTTTTTTTGAAATGCGGAACAATTGACTTCCAATATTTGGATTTTTTCTTTTTTGGTGCAAGATCTGCAAATGTCTGAAGGCGAACAGGAAACCGTCTGGGTGGACGCTGAGTAGCTCTCAGAGTTACGCTTTTGCCTCTCCGAAGACTCAAGTGACAAACGGAGATTTGTCGGTTTTAACTCTCTTTTTGTCTTGCATTCTTGCAAGCTATCGTCAAAGACTTGGGTCGCTGCTTCCACTCTCATGCTTAGAAGGGGACTGGTCCATCAGACCACTCTATTTTGAATGTGTCTTTTTAGATCAGGGAGAAAATTTCCCCTGAAATTAAGGGGGGAAATTAAAAGATTTCTGTGTTCTGGAGCTTTAGGGTATAGCGCCTATGCCTTTGAAAGGTCTGTATGAAGCATTCAACAAAAGCCTTTGGATGCTCTCCATTCTGAGAGCACAAGTCAACCTTGTACAAATTCACCATAAAGGGGAAAGACTCTGCTATTGCTTCTATCAGCCCCCAGTTCGTCCATTCCCCTATCATTTCTTTGTAGGGGGGCCTGGGAGAAATTCTGGCTACCTCTTGTCTCTGCGAGAGGGGTTTTTCCCAGGGGGCCCTTTGGCCTGTCTGTTAACTGCACTACAGTCGTGGGTGGGAGAATATCCCTCTGCCGTCAGTCAAGGAAGGTCCTTATGAATGGAGCGGTGATTGGCCACTCATCTTCTGATTCCTCCATAAATGTGTCAGGGCCTTCTGAAAATGGAAGTTAAAGGGTGTTATAACTTGGAAAATCTGTTGGTATCCAAGGGAAGTGAATTCTTTGTCGCTGTGTGTGTGTGTGTGTGTGTGTGCCTGGCAGGGGGCAGGGGGTGTGTGACCAGGATGTATCCACAAAGGACGTCACATGGAAAGACTTGAAGCTGTGACTGATTATGGAGCTCGTGAAGCACCTGTCCCACGTGCGCCTGGGCTTCTGCCTTCACTTGAGTAGCCCGTATACCCTGGGCCTCAAGAACAGGCTGGAGTGTTCTCTGTGAATCTTCTAGGGAAGGGATGGCTAAACCAGGGGGCTGGGTGTTCAGGGGATTTTCTGGGGAAAGTGGAGGAGTTTGGGGAGTTGGAATTTGCGAAGGAGGTGAGGCCGGACTTTAGGAAGGGGAACTGACGTTAAATGTGGGCTTTCATCTTTGTTCTAAGTCTAATTTGTGTTCTTTCGTCTTGTTAAGCGGGTCCCTAAGAGTAGCTGTTATTCTCGTTTGTATCCACTTTTTCACGTGGTCTTTCCATAAGAGGCAATAAGGCTGAGAACTCTCCGGAAAAAAAATTAGTTTCTTCAAATACAGACCTTTTCTAATTCAGAGGATACTTTGGCCATTGACTTGTCGGATCTTATATTGGTCTCAATAGTGACTCAAACCAGTTAGCCTTTTCGTGGCTTGACCAAGGATGCCAAAGAGATGCACTAAAAAAAAAAAAAAAAAAAAAAAAGCGCCAAAAAAGGACGCAAAAGACACCGCCCTCACAAGATTCAGAAAGTTCGCTCCCAGCGTTAGCCTGGGAAAGCAAAACCCTTTGTTGTCATAGGCAGTCGGTGGAAATGGCGTCTCCAGTTTCTCATGAGAACATGAGGGGCCTCGGTCACAGACTTGCATATCTGTGGCACCAGCAGGTGCCACTGAAAGGGGGCTTTTCCGGCACTAACGAGACAACAGAGGTCGAGATGACCAAGGCCCCTCATGGATTGGAGCCCTTGTGACAAGTGTCCCTGTGAGCTGGCATGGTAGGTAGGACAAGAGAGTGTTGCTTGTGGACTGCACGTCTCAGAACCCCAGTCTGTTCGACTGGCTGCTAGATGCAGACTGCCAGGTGCACCTTCCAGCTGGTGGAAACCAGAGGGATTATTTTCACTGGCCACAAAGCCAAGCTCTAAGGACATAGAACAAGATGAAAGGAAAACCTCGTCTGGTTTGCACACAAAATTTGCCTCAGCAGACACCAGTCCGGTGAGAACCGTGAAGTCAGCAGTCTGGGAGGCTGGCTCGAACAGCAGACTTAGGGGGCCTACGCCTATGGTTCTACCCTGTGGTTTCCCTCCTTATGACAAATGACACAAAAGACAGAGAAAAAGGAAAACAGTGACCATCTGAGGGAGGAAAGGGGTCAATGGCAAACAGGGGTACTCATAACAAATCTTTACGATAGTTGCTCTATCCAGAGAACTAGTCCACACAAGTATTTTCTTCTGCTAATCTAAATTTAGAAAAGAAAAGAACTGTCTCCACTCTCACTCCCAACAGACGCTGCGGGCAGAGGCCCAGGAGACTGATATGGTTAAGAATTCTTACTTTCTGGGGCACTTGGGTGGCTCAGTCAGTTGAGCAACTGACTTCGGCTCAGGTCATGATCTCACGGTTTGTGAGCTCGTGCCCCGCGTCGGGATTTGTGCTGACACCTTGGAGCCTGGAGCCTGCTTCGGAGTCTGTGTCTCCCTTACTCTCTGCCCCTCTCTCCAGTTCGTGCTGTGTCTTTCTCTCTCTCTCAAAAGTAAATAAACATTACAAATATTAAAAGAAAAAAAGAAGAATTCTTACTTTCTGCCCGCTCCCATCAGGGCCCCCAGGATTTCTCAGCTGCACCATCTGGGAGCGACAGTGAGAGCCCCACACTGGGCACCAAAACTGTAGGGGAGGAGAACTTTTCCCTTCTTCCCTTCTAGGTTCTTTGGCTGGCCTGATAATTAAATTGACGTAAGACAGGTTAACAGGAGGAAAACAAATTTCGTTTCATATGATGGGAGCCTATAAAAATGGGACATCCAAAGAAGAGACCAAGCAGGCAGCTTTTATGCTTTTTAGCTGAGGAAACAAAACATTTGTGAGGAGTTGATGAGACAGAGGGATTTGGACTTTGGGTAGCAGGTTAGTGAAGAAGTCACAAGGTTTGTTTATATAGCCTTCTTGGCCCTACGTTTTCTACTCTGGTGTTAAGGATGCCTTCTACTTCCCTGGTGTGGAGAGGGCACCTTCCACATGGGAGATTTATTTCCCGCTTCCAGAGGGACAGAGGAGGGTTGGGGTATCCTTCCTGCACTATTTCTTACGTGACTTTGATTCGAAAGAATTGATATGTCAAAGTGGCGTATTTTGGGGTGGCCTGTTCTGCCCCCCCTTCGGTAGCAAGTAGCTCAAAGAGTTGTCATAAGAATCAAATAGGATCATGGCTAGAGAGCACTTAGTGTAGCACCTGGCACATAGGAAGCTCTCGAAACGGTCGTCTGCCGTTATTATCATTAGGCTGTTTTGCGTTATATCCCTGAACATAGGCTCATTATATACCATCAGAGTAGAGTTTGGTAGAATTGGTCTGAGGTACAGCAGTGGGAGGTTTTGCTAAAGATTAGGTCCAGGGTATTAGGAGGATGAACGGCAAACCTTTCAGGCAATTATTTGTGAATATCGATTCCCCTAATTGAGTTTTGGTAACTATTTGGAAGCCTGCAAGGTAAGGATATATTCTCGGGCAAAAATGTGAGTGCGAATATTCTCTGTTGTCCAATTAGGGAAGATCCATATTCCCTGACATTCAGCTAAGCAGAAGAGAGGGTTGACACTTCTTTCTGGTTAAAGAATCCAGTCAGGAGATATGTCTTAATTATAGAAGACCATCCCAAATCCCCAAGGATGTGGGCTGAGCTAATATTTTCCTCGGAATTCAATTACTGTTACCTTACTACACATAGTTTAGTGGACAGCCTCTGGCCCTAATAATTTTAGCCAGGAAAATTTTTACAGCTGGCATTTGCATTCAGTGAACACTAAAAAGATCTCAATAAAGCATTCCTGGAATGCTTAAATTTAAACAATTTAGCTCACTGGTAGATATTTCCATGTAATTTTGTTAGAAAATATATCCCGAGGTAACTGATGTATTGTCGTACTACGTAGAGCTGTCAGACATGATCCAATTAAATGTTGGGTGACATCTTCCAAAAAGAGTGATTTTAGTTTGGGTAAGTTGGTGCTAAGCAATTCTTTTTCACAGTAAATGGGGCGTAAGATTAATTGCCCACTGAGGCCACTTCTAGCTGATGTTAGTACAGCCACGTCATCAGCGCTGGTTTTCCTTTACAGAAGGGGTCTTGTATCCTGTTTGTTCAGAAGTAGAATCAGGCATTAAGGCTGAAGTTAAAAGGACAGAGGGCCAAATGATACCTAAATCCTATGATAAAACTACCGGGGGTGGGGGGCACCTGGGGGGCTCAGTCGGTTAAGCGTCCGACTTCAGCTCAGGTCACGATCTCGAGGTTCGTGAGTTCGAGTCCCGCGACGGGCCCTTTGCTGACCGCCCAGAGCCTGGAACCTGCTTCGGATTGTGTGTCTCCCTCTCTTTCTGCCCCTCCCCAGCTGGCACTCTGTCTCTGTCTCTGTCTCTCTCTCAAAAATTAGTAAACATTAAAAAAATTTTAAAAAGGGTATAAACAAATTCATGTTAAGTTTTCTCTTACAGCATCATAAAGCATATTTACGTGTTGTAGCATAAAATTCACAACCGGCATTGTAAACGGCTGTCCATTCTGTTCAGTGGATGTGGATCTACACCATCTGTTTAAACATGCCCACAATTTTCTAAGTTGTGGTTGTCTTTGTGAATAAAGCCTCCTCCACCCCCCAAGCCATTCCCCCCCCCACCTCGCCCGATATTCTAGAATGGATTTCCCCGGAATGGATTTCCAGAATGTGACTGTTTTAGTTCACCAAGCACTGCCACCCAGCATTGTTGGAGAACCAGCAGGCACCACACAGTCGCTAATAAATAACCCACATTGATCTCTCATTTTGCAATTTATCTTGGTGTATTTGCTCTTCGGGCTTTGATTCATGGCACCAGAGGGCAATTTTGGAAAATCATTTACCCATCGGCTGAAGTCTCTGTGATTGTGGCTCATATAAGGTCAAGCAGAGCAGACCAGAGACGGGGATCTCAGCTGCCAATACTTTTTCCACGACGAGAATCCAGATTCCGGGCCCGGGGACGGCGGGGCAGAGACATGGACAAGTTGTCACTGTGTTTCCTGGTCGTCATCGGCCTCCCTGGAGCTTTTCTCCAAAGCGGTAAGCGCGGCTCTGGATGGTCGCTGAGTTCTCGTCTCCGGGCCAGACTGTGTAAGGCCATGGGGAAAATGGCCAGTGCGGGGAAGGGGTGGTGGTCTGGGGAAGAGGGAAGTCTGGTTTCTAAATCCACATAGTGACCGAATACAGCTTCTTGGCCTAACAAGCTGTTAAAAGAGAGACCACAGGCCCTAATGGAATCACTCGTGTTAAGCCCCACCCACATCGAGACTGACTACCCTGATTTCAGTGTCAGCCTCCCCCTGGAATATAACCTTTAACTGGTCAATCTGGTTAGCAAGCTGGTCAGCACTAACGAGGTGAATTCGCCTGAGAGCAGCCCTTCCTCCCCCCATAGGACGGTGACCCTGCTTGAAGTAATCTACCCCTTGCTAGAAACTTTCTCTCCCTGAACCTTCTACCCTGTAGTTCTCAGAGCTCCTTTCTTTCTGCTGGAAGGGGTGCTGCCCAATTCATGAATCAGGGAATAAGGCCAATTAGATCTTTACATTTACTCCTCTGAATTTTGTTTTTTAACGTAACTCAACTGCCACCATTTTCTCTCTCTCTTTTCTATCCCACAGACATGCAAAAAAAGGCCTTTGTGTTCCCCATAGAGTCCGATAAGTCCTTTGTAACCCTGTTTGCTCAAGTCCAGGAGCCATTGAAGGCTTTCACCGTATGCCTGCGAGTCTATACCGCCTTGACCCGCCCATATAGCCTCTTCTCTTACGCCACCAAGACACAGAGCAATGAGATCCTCCTCTTCAAGTACAAGAGTGGAGTATACAGCGTATCTGTGGGTGGCTCGGACGCCTACTTCAAGACTCCGGAGAAGTCTTATGCACCAGTGCACTTCTGCACTAGCTGGGAGTCCAGCTCGGGGATTGTAGAGCTCTGGGTGGATGGGAGGCCCATGGTGAGGACGAGTCTGAAGAAGGGATACACTGTGGGGGCAGGAGCAAGCATCATCCTGGGGCAGGAGCAGGATTCCTTTGCTGGGAACTTTGATACGAAACAGTCCTTAGTGGGAGACATTGGAGAGGTGAACATGTGGGACTTTGTGCTGTCACCAGTCGAAATAAACTCCGTCTACAATGGTAAGGCCTTCAGCGCCTTCAGCGCTAACGTCCTGAACTGGCAGGAGCTGAAGTATGAAGCACAAGGTGAAGTGTTCGTCAAGAACCAGCTGTGGATCTGAGACCTTCTGTCAGTCCTGGAGCTGCCTCCTGGGGGTGGGGGGTGGGGTCACACCTCACATGGCCCTCTTTCGATCCGGCTCTGAGGGGGGACCCCTACACACGTGGGGGGGCCGTGTTTCCCTCTGCCTCCTCCACTCTGTTTTCATCAGCACAAGGGACAGCGCCGGGCAGAGGGGCTGTTCGGGACCACACCACCTGACCTGGGGGAGGGGCGCCTGGGTGGCCCAGTCCTTTGAGGTTTCGGCAAAGGTCATGATCTCATGGCTTTGTGGGTCGGAGCCCCACGGCGAGCTCTGCGCTGACAGTGTGAAGCCGGCTTGGGATTCTCTCTCTCTCTCTGCCCTTCCCCCGCCTCGCACTTGTCCGTGCCTCTCTCAAATAAATAAATAAATAAATAAACTGAAAAGAACATCTGATTTGCGGGACCGTCGATGTTTTTAAAGTTGTCCAAGTGAGTCCAGTGTTTGGTCAAGATGGAGAGCCATGCATTTTAAGTGTCTCTAGGAGAAAGTGAGCCAACTTTTGTGTTTTTTTTCTCCCGGAAGACGGCATATGTTTACCTGAGGTCCTGCCAACATCTTAATTTCCTTTTAAAGGCAAACCCACCCCATTGTATTGTGCTTTCATGAGTTCTCTGCATAACCCAGGAAGAGAATTTCTCCAGTGTTCTGACCCCCGCCCCCCCATCCATCGGGATGTGGTCACTGGAATTTAGAATTCTCTCTAATTATTTAATCCTTTGAATTTGAAGGTTTAAAAAGCTAAAGAGAAACGTTTCGTTGTCGTTTGTGTTTAATTTGCTCTTTTCTCCTCAGGACCACCAGTTTTCCTCGTGTGAGATTTCCATTATTTTGCCTGCTCATTTATCATCGCCCAGACTTCTCCGAACCTACGTGCTTGGTCCTTATAACAGGAGCTTTTATTTTTTTAAGGCTTTCCTCCACATCAGTGATTTCTTTTGCTGTAAGGCATATTGGGATCCCCGCGACTTCTAATGCCACTGAAGATCCCGCAGTGCTCGTGCTCGCTGAGTTTGTCTGGAACCCCTTCTTGGGTTTAGTATGTTCTCTCAACTCTCATTCTTTCATCGGGTCCCCGTTTTCTTCAGTTTGCTTGAGGGCTTGATGCCTAAAACTTTCCGAGTTTCCCTGTCATTAATCTTTTCGGAATAAATCTTTTCCATGCCTTACGTCCTGGTCTTTCACATCGTAGTATTTTTCCACCATCCGGCAGCTCAAAACCAGCGTGAGGGATGAGCTCTTGAGCCCCTCCTGCTCAGCTGGCCGCAGGGAGACCCTGACAGCTTCAGCAGGCCGCCTGGGGACTCCTTTTCATGTGACAGCCTGCAGCTCCCCTTCCAAGTGACTGTCGCCTCCACCAGGTTCTGCCACGCATCCCGGCGTCTCGTAGGTGTGCGTTTTCATTTATTTGTGTCGTTTCCCTATCTGTGGAATGACCGGGAATGCTGGAGAGGACACGGGTGACCATAGCAGCTTGATCCTGCAAGACCGGGTCTCGGTTCTTCTGGAGAGGGTCCTAGGCTGGGGAAGCTTCCATTTCCCTCTGACCGGCTCCTCCTTTCGGGAAGAGGAGCGGCTTGTGCGGGCTTGTCCCAAACCTGACATCCACTGGTCCACAGCTCAGGGGTCAAGTTTCCTGTGCACGTGACCGCTCTGTCTGGGGCTCTGGGACCTTTCCTTCTCCACCAGGTGGGAAGTAAATAGAGATTCTCGTTTCTGTTCCGTCTGGAAGCTTAGATCTGGGGGGGGGGGGGGGGGTTCAGGAAGGTCCCAGGGGCGTTCTCTGCCAGCCACAGGTCTGGTGCCGTGATTCGTATTTAAGTCCCATCTCTGTCTTTCAGTTCCTTTAGAGCGTGCAGGGAGGAGATAAGCCTGTCCCCTCAGAGCCGTAAATGCCACAAAGAGAGAACCTTTGTGGTCGAGAGGTCTGTACTTTCTGCACCTATAGCAGCAGGAAGGGGGCCTGGCAGGGCTCCAGACCCAGTAGAGCCGTAACCGAAGAGGGCACCATCTCTCACAGGCAGCCGGGCATCCGCTGCCTCTGGGGACAGGGCTTACACCTGGGGCCAGCTCAGACTTGCCCAAGAGTTTCAACTCTGGACATTGCAGTGCTCCCCAGGGGCTGGGGCAGATTCACCTCAACACCTACAGAGTCCTGGTGCCTGGGTCATTGGCCTTTGCATCGTGGGTACCAAGCACTGATGGGCAGAACCAGGTTCTGTTCCTCTCAAGATGCTTTACTTGTGTTCAGGGTCAAGGAGGGTCTATTGAAGGTCTCATCTGTACCTTGATAGCGGCCACTGCAGTTTCTTAAAGCCCCCGCCCCTTTCATCCAGGGTTTCACGAGACCACATGAGCTCATGCCCTGGTTCCATATCTTGTTGGGCAAGTTATTTAAGATGTTTTATTCTGCGGATTTCCTCATCTTCCGAATGGGGATAATGTAGGGCCTCCTTCCCTGGCACATGGCTAGGGCTCCATGACCATCATCTCTGATTTGCTGGTAATACTGTTCATTGGATCACGATGGTGGATTTCAAAGATCCAGGCTCTGGGTCAGAGACCCCGTAGGTTGAAGGGATCCAGCAACGGACAGATGCCGAAGAAGGGGGTCTCCGGCTCTGAGGGGGACATGTCAGCTTGCCACGGAGACCAAAATCATGGACATGATTACAAACTTAAGGGACAAGGGGCACATTTGGAAGGACTGTCCTTGGGATGCTGTGGTTTCAGGAAACACGTTCAAAAGCAGAACAGAGAGATGGTGAGAGGCAAAGAGACTTCCGAATTTGGCAGCAAACTCTCACTCGGATTTTTAGGAGGACATCAGAAACGTCGGGATGAGGCACTCAACTTAAGAAGACAGGCTTCATGCTAGACAGAAACCACTGGGAAACGGGAAAGGAGAGGGGTTCTGTGACCCGTCCTGTGGGGCCGCAGGACAGAAGGACAGGGTTGGTGGGCAGCTGGTGGCTGCTCTCACAGCTCAGGGCAGGCTGGCTTCAAAGGACAGAGGGGCCACCAACGAGGAGGGAGATGTCACAGGGAGCCACACAACCTCAAATTTCCCGGCCACAGAGGTGACGAGACAGGCATCTCTGTCACTAAACAGCCCATCACGTTGGGCCAGGAAACTCTAACCTGAGGACAGGAGGTGGCTGGGGAGGTGCTGGGACCGGAGGACTCGGGAGACCCTAGAGCGAGGGTGCTGACTGCGAAGTCACAGACCCTTTCTTTGCTGGAAGGTTGGGCCCAAACGAGAAGCTTCTCCACACAGGTTTCCCTCTTGCCATTCAGCACAGAGAACGATCCTTCAGATGTAAACGAGAGCCGCCCCCTCCTGCAGCCCCTAGAACACACTGGAACCCTCCCCCTGGCCCTCAGGGCCCTGTGTTTTCTGACCTGTCTCCCTCCTGCCATTTTGCCTGTTCCTCCCCCCTCCCCCACCCCCCCCCAACAAACGTGTGCCTGATGCCAGCCGTGTGGCATCACGGGGCTCGGATGCACGGGACCGGCTGGAAAACCACAGAAACGGGAGCGACAGAACCACACTCACATCAGATCCAGTCTTGTCACCTGGGGCTTCCTTCACAGCGGGTGTATATGCGCCCGACGTGTGTGCACCAGGAGCTGGCACTTGCTTTGTCCAGAGCCTCACGGGGCAGGTTCCACATCACTCGCTTTCCTGCTCCATTAGGACTTATAGATACCACTCTCGGAAAAAAAAAAAAAAACCAAAACTGGGGGTGCGGGTTTCCTTGCGTCCTCTCCCCCTAGATCGCAAATTCTACGAGAGCAGCTGCGTCATTACCCAGCTTCTAGGGTGGTGTGGCTTCTAATATGTCCTCAATAAATATTTGATGAATTCGTTAATTCCAGAGAAGGCGGACGCAGGGAAGCAATGGCTTGGATGCCACTGAGGAGGGAGAAATGGATGCCTGGAGCGTGAACTTGGGAGGCCACAATTTTGCTCACGGAATGCTGTGCTGTAAGTGTGTGACAGCCTGCTTCTCAGAGAGGGGACGGGCGGCCAGAGTCTGCATTGGATTCCAAATGACACTTCTGGGGATAAAGCAGGTAGGGAAAGGGGAATTAAACAATTATTAAGAATAGGGGCGCCCGGGTGGCTCGGTCGGTTAAGCATCTGACTCTTGATCTCGGCTCAGGTCACGATCTTGTGGTTTCATGAGCTCAAGCCCTGCGTCCGGCTCTGTGCTGACGGCACGGAGCCTGCTTGGGATTCTCTCTCCCTCTCTCTCTGCCCCTCCCCTTCATTCAAGGTATAATGAAGGAGGACAGAATACGCCGCCGCAGAATACACTTCTGTGGCATATTGGCTATTTTGAGTTGGTTATTTTTAAGAAACAACAAACAGAGGAGGCACTCTGAAAACTGAGTCAAAGTGACCCTGTTGTAAGAGACATTTGCATTTATATGGGAAATCGCCGTTTGTAAGGGTGTCCCCCCTTCTGTACCAGGAGGAGGAGGAAGGGGACGCCGTCTTTAGAATCTCTTATCAGTGGAGAAGGGCAGGATGATTTACATCTGCTTCACAATCTCACTCTTGTTCTCTGTGCTTTTCCTGATGACGCCCCACCCCAACACCTTCGTTTGTCTTTGGCTGGACTAGGTATTTAAGTTGATGGCTTGGGTCATCAGTTTTCCTGGGTGTGTCCCACGTACACAGGAAGCACACATAGTATTACGTTTCTGTTTCCCCCCGTTAATCTTTTATTACACAGGGTCTCAGCCAAGAACCTAGAAGAGTAGGGGGAAAATGACTTCACCTCCCCTACGATAACCTATGTATATAAAAAAAAAAAATGCATGAATCTTAAGTGGATAGCTCGATAAAATTTCCCAAGGGGGGAAATTCCCATACCAGTACGGGCTCGTAGATGATTTTGGGCTCCCTTCTACCATACAGTACCTTCACCTGAATGAGGATGGTAATTGTCAGCACCCACTTCTTGTCCCTAAAGCTCAAAGGGAATGTTTTCTATAATTTGTGGTTCAGTATGAAGTTTGCTCCATGTTTTTTTTGGTTTGTTGTTGTTTTTTTTTAAGTAACTTGCATCCTTCTTCTGGCCAAAGAGAAAGTGCAATGTTGCAAGCAGGCCCTTTGTGAGGATAACAGTCTTGTGCCTGTTACGCTAACATTTTTCCGGGCAAGCTCACGTTCCTCTGGGACGGTCAGCCATCTTGCCAAGTAATCTGCAATTTGATGGAAGGGTAAGACCCTTGTTCTCCTG